AGTCAGTTTTAACGCCACTCTATCAAACCATCTGTCTAGTCCTTCTGCGTGACTTCATCAGTTGGAAGTATCTCCTCAAATTTTGTGGTTCCTCTGTTTGAAAATTCTTACCTCCAAAATCAATAGAACGGTTAAATGGATTTGCAGTTCTGAAGCTTACACTTGCACCTGAATTTTTTTCTCCTTTTCTCCACCTTCTTTGGTTCAGTGGATACAGCATCCCGGTGAATTGATGATAAGCAGCTGAACTCTTTAGCCCAGTTTCTATTCGTAACCTGCATAGGCCTCCAGCCAGCTTTTTACTCAGGAGCAGACATCAGCAGATATGGTAGCTTGCTTTTAGACAGTTTATTTGAAATAGCCGAGACCACTTGTTTACATATGGGTGGGCAAAAATAGGTTTACAGTTGTGAGTGTGCAAACCAGAGCTTATGGTATTACTTACTCATTTGTTACTGCGTTATTTTCTGTGCAGACAAGTGTAAACTTTTGCCTGCCCCGTGTTGTCTTTGGTTGCTTTGTGACTACAGCAGCGCAGTTGAGTAGTTGTGACAAAGACAGGATGGCCTGTAGGCCTAAAATATTTACTGGTTAGCTATTTAAGGGAAAGTGTGCTGAGCCCTGATTCAGGAGAAAGGTGCCTGCTGGTTTGAGGGAACCACAACCAGAACAGAGAAAGGGGGTGAAATGGCAAAAATCTGTATTCACGTCGTCTTTGCCTGCGCTTGGCTTATTGTTTCGCACCCAGTTGGGTGTGGGTCAGAAATATTTTTGGTCGCTGGGCTCATATTGTGAACCTGAGAAAAAGATAGTGGGTCATATTAGCAATCCATAGTGCTTAAAAAGACCAGATACTTAGATAATGAGATTGTGAGCAGTAGTTTTATTTTTAATTTTATAAATATTATTTAAAGCTCTTCATTAGCTAGTAAGGTAATAATGAGCTACAGGTTCTCATTTGTTTTCGCTATAGTATTTAGGATTTCATTGAAGCTTGAAAGAATGTCTGAGGTGTAAAAATAAATATATTTTTAGGGAACTTAAGGCACTTTTAGCAATATATACTAGGATCAGCTTTCGTGAAATACTAGCTTTTAGTCTTTGTGCCTTTTTCTTCTCACAGGGGATATGAAAGGCGAGGTCTACCCATTTGGCATAGTTGGAATGGCCAACAAAGGGGATTGCCTGCAGAAAGGGGAGAGCGTCAAATTCCAGTTGTGTGTCCTGGGCCAAAATGCACAGACTATGGCCTACAACATCACACCTCTGCGTAGGGCCACTGTGGAGTGTGTGAAAGATCAGGTAGGTGGTGGTGTCTCTGGGTCTGAATTCGATTCTTTCATAAGTTGATGATAGTAACCAAAACCTGAAAATTTTTCAGCCAAGGTTGGAACTGTCAACCATTTACTTAGTTTTTATTTCCACTTTACCTTTTTTCTTTTTTTTTTTTTTAAGATTTTATTTATTTATTTTTAGAGAGGGAAGGGAGGGAGAGAGAAACATCAATGCGCGGTTGCTGGGGGCCGTGGCCTGCATCCCAGGTATGTACCCTGACTGGGAATCGAACCTGCAACACTTTGGTTCGCAGCCCACGCTCAATCCACTGAGCTACACTAGCCAGGGCCCCACTTTACCATTTTTTCAGCAATTTGAGGTGATGTATAAAAACATGAAGAACATCAGTGATATTGACAACTAACATTGCATGATGGGGCAAATAGATCTTCAGACTAGAAAGACTACGATTTTGTATACTTTAAACCTCAGAGCTGCTTCTGCAGACCACACAAAGAAAGAAACTGTGTGTAAGAGTGTTCATGAAACAAGCTTAGGGCAAACAAAGCTATTCCTGGTACTTAGATCTCAAGAAAATCCCTGTGAGCCCTCAGAACATTTTCTTAATGTCAGAACTGTGAATACAGTATTTGTGTGGCTGTTTTTTATAATACTATAAACCACCTTAATTCTAGAAGTGATCAAAATCATGCATATGTTTATGTAACAGTTCCTTAATGATTTTATGTAATTCAGAAATTTAGCTCATATAATAGATGAAGGCACAAGGCAACCTTCATTTGTTTCAGCCAGGCTTTTTTTAATTCCAGTTTGGTTTCATTAACTATGAAGTAGGAGATAGCAAGAAGCTCTTTTTCCATGTGAAAGAAGTTCAGGATGGCGTTGAGCTACAGGCTGGAGATGAGGTGGAATTCTCAGTGATTCTTAATCAGCGCACTGGCAAGTGCAGCGCATGTAACGTTTGGCGAGTCTGGTGAGTTTCTGCTGTTGGACTGGCAGTCTCTCTGGACTATATCTTGTGATCTCGGCTTCACCACATTTCTTCCCTTTTCCATCTGCGTTTTTTCATCCTTTTCTGCCATTCTGGTTATTGCTTGATACTTCCTATGTCCTTCACCTCTAGTCTTCATTGTGTAAACTCTTAGTCTCATAAATCTGGCCCAGTGAAACATTAATTGGGCACTTGCCACATAATATATACTAAATGTAAAAAGATCGTGTACTCCTTGTTCTTAAAAGATTCTGCTTATCTCTTTTTTTATCCCTCCTTTCATTAAGCCACTTCTAGGTTATATATATTGTGCTTAAAAGTCTCATTTTACAGTTTAGCAATTCTGGCTCTATGCGTTTTTTGTGGGTGTGGTTTTTTTTTTTTTTACTTAAAAAATAGTAACATTGTTACTATGCAAGGAGCTGGCAGTCTCTGGAAATATTTCTTTGTGTTTAAGTCTTCCAGGTTTTTCACACCCACTACCTTGTTTTATGTTGTCTGGGCCAATCTAGGGATGACCCTCACCCGAATGATTCTTCCAGCTCCTGTGCAGTAGTCAGCCTTGAGTTGGGAGTAAAAACACAAGCAAACTTGTCTGTCCTGTCTTGCTAGCTGGCTGGCTAAATGAGGCAAGAGTCCCCCCTCATTAAAACTGAGTCATTTGGGTAGTTATGTGGAAAACACGCTCCTGTGAGTACTTGCTTTCTTCCCACCAAGTGTTGCTGCTTCTCTTTTCTTGACTGTGTTACAGTGAGGGCCCCAAGGCCGTTGCGGCTCCACGGCCTGACAGGCTGGTCAATCGCTTGAAGAACATCACCCTGGATGATGCCAGTGCTCCTCGCCTAATGGTTCTTCGTCAGCCAAGGGGACCAGACAACTCAATGGTATGACGGCATGCAAGGTTTCGGGGGCGGAGGGGGGAGTGCGGGGACAGAACACTGACAGACCATCATAATAAATACTTGAGGTCCTAGTTCCACATATCTCAGAGAGCTTAATAAGGAACATCAAGTGTTGCTTTATAACCGGCTGGGAGTCCTTACACATTGATGCAGCCCCCAGCAGAATGGTTGCTTACCTTTATTTTAAGAAGCACATTTCTTGGTTTTCATGATACTTTGAACATAGTTTTAGGTAATAAGTAGATTGAGAGGGTTTACTATAGATTTCCTCTGGGAAAAAATTGGTAATGGTTAAGGTGATTAAAAACAGTGCTTTTGTAGTACATTTTGGAATTGTGAGTGGGCTGTGATTATCCTGCACTCGGGTCATTAACTGCAGTTTTACTTTTTCACAGGGATTTGGTGCAGAAAGAAAGATCCGTCAGGCTGGTGTCATTGACTAACCACATCCACAAAGCACATCATTAATCCGCTATGATCAAGTTGGGGGGATTCTGGTGAAGGGTCTGAATATCTCCCTCTTCATCCCTCCCCAAAATCTGGAATACTTATTCTATTGAGCTATTACACCAATTTTAACACCTTCCTCGTGTTATGTTTAAAAAAATAAATAAATTTAAGAAAACCATTTTAAAATTATGCACAGTTGCAGCCTGGAAAACTTAAGGTGGCGCCTTGTAGTATCAATTTTAGGAGCTTTATTTGGTGCATATAACGCAACTGGTAACTGCAAAATCCACTTTGCCCGTGTTAAGTGAAAACTAATAGACTGTTACCTGGTTGGCCCTATGAAATTCTGCACTTGGTATTTAGTATATATTCTACCTTCATCACTCTGGCACGGTGTCCTGCCTTAGCACTCAGTTGCATTCTTTATCTTTTCTTGTTCATTATGCTTTAATTCTGAGGACCACATGAGGGTAGACTATATTAATTGCAAAAATTTGTATAGGCAAACCATTTCCTTGATGGCCAAATGTTAAAGTGTTATTTTTCATATCATTTATAATCTTATCACAGTCCACTTAATGAAAGTTTCGTTAGATTTCAATGAAAATTATCTTCCAGAGTAGTTTTTCTTTTTTCCTGGGATGGGTGGGGAGGGTAAATTTACTACAATTAGTATGTATGGTGCAGAATTTCATGCAAATGAGGTGTGCCAGGAGTGTGATAATTTAAACATATTTAAACAAAGACGAATGCACAAATTTGCTGCTGCTTAGATCACTGCAGCTTCTAGGACCCAGTTTCTTTTACTGATTTAAAACAAAACAAAACAAAAAAATAAAAAAGTTGTGCCTGAAATGAATCTTGTTTTTTTTATAAGTAACCACCTGGTTCCTGTGTCCTGTAAAATACAGGCACTTGACCCTTGGTGTAGCTTCTATTCCACTTTATATCACGGGAACGGATTGGTCTGATTTCTTGGCCGTCATCTTTAATTGGCCACATACAGGGTCCCTGGCCAGTGGACTGAAGGCTTTGTCTAAGATGACAAGGGTCAGCTCAGGGGATGTGGGGGAGGGCGCTTTTATCTTCCCCGTTGTCGTTTGAGGTTTTGATCTTCTCTGGGTAAAGAGGCCATTTATCTTTGTAAACGCAAAACATTTTTGCTTTCTCCAGTTTTCTGTTATTGGCGAAAGAATGGAAGCGAATAAAGTTTTACTGATTTTTGAGACACCAGCACCGAGCGCTTTCATTATTGAAACGTCCTGAGCGGGAGGGGCGGGTCTGGGTGTGGCCAGCCACTTGCCTCCCGGGTCGGGGCCCACGTGGCCGGGGCGGGACGCAGCGCCTGGGGCGCCGACTGATTACGTAGCGGGCGGGGCCGGAAGTGCCGCTCCCTGGTGGGGGCTGTTCATGGCGGTTCCGGGGTCTCTAACATTTTTCCGGGTGTTGGTTGTAAATCCGTTCGCAGCGGAGGCACCAGGGCTGGAGGTAAGGCTCTGGTGTGTGTCGCGTTGGGCTTTGGAGCGTACAGGCGTCTGATCGTTGCCGGGAATCCAGTGGAATTTGCGACCTGGAGACAAAGGCCCTGGGCGGGGGTCCTTCGGTTTGAGTCCTACAGCGAAGATCTTTGGAGACGGGCGGGGGATCCTGAAGCGGGGGCAGCCTGAAGGTAGCCCCCCAGAACTGAGAAGCCTGGCGGGAGGAGCAGGAAGGGGGGCTTGCCTTTACCTTAGGCCGAGGGCGGGGCCCAAAGCCTGCTGAAAAATAGGTGAGGGTGGCGGTAGCTAGAAGACTGTAATTAAGAATTCGGAGACCCACGGTAACTTGTGTTTTTGCATTCCTGAATCACTCTGAGAACTAAATGAAGAGTCACGTGTATGGAACAGACACATTTCCAACTCTGGCTTTCCTTACTACTGATGTACTTTGAAGTACTGTAGTGGTGGCTCGCCAATTAACCGTAATTGCTGCTTTCCCACAGGTTCTTGCTGGTGTGAAATGACTGAGTACAAACTGGTGGTGGTTGGAGCAGGTGGTGTTGGGAAAAGCGCGCTGACAATCCAGCTAATCCAGAACCACTTTGTAGATGAATATGACCCCACCATAGAGGTGAGGCCCAGGGGTAGTCCGCTGACCCTGCTCTCTTTCCGTCTACCCTCACCCGTACCCTTTAGCTATTCTTTAGCTGAGAGAAAGCGCAAAGTTATTTTGGGTACTGCGTTCGTTCATTAATACAATAAATAAAGCTTTCCATGCTTGTGGAAAACACTTCATTTTTATGAGCTGCTGAAGATTTTCTAAAAAGTCCACAGTTTTTAACAGTTCTGTGAACTTGCAAAGTCAGTGTTGAACTCATTTCATTTCTTCATACGTGACAGCTCTATTTCTAAAAAAGACACAGGCCATAGGCAGAGCGGTTCTCTGAATAATGTAGGAGCATGGAGATAAAAGATTCGGAGACCGGGGTGTTCTACAGTTGTAATTTCTAAGCTCGTTGAAGTCGCAGAGACTGGGTTGGAGTAGAGAGAACATGAGATTTTCAGTCGCAGTGCCTAGGATTTCAGTCCCCGTTTGCAGTGTCTTTAATTATGTGATAGTGAGCGAGTCACTTAATCTCTCGGAGCCTTGTTTTCTTCATCTGTTAAGTTACTGTGAGGAAGCGTCTCCTACCTCCCACACAGGGATGGTGTGAAAAACCAAATGTGTTTAGACTTTTTGTGAATGGTAAAGCCCTGGGTAAAAAGTACTTATTTAAAGATCCTGTTGTTTTCATGGGAGTTCATGTTACAGATTGGTGTCAATGAATGGCAAAAAAACTGTTAAATAAAAGGCCTTGTCATTCAATTTAGAAATGTGTGACTCTACTTATTGATTTTTTTTTTTTTAAACAGAGAAACATCCATTTGTTGTTTTACTTATTTATGCATTCACTGGTTGAGTCTTGTATATGCCCCGACCAGGTATTGAACCCACAACCTTGGTGTATTGGGGCTATGCTCTGACCAACTGAGCTACCCGGCCAGGGCCTAGAAATGTGTAACTCTAGAGACTATTTTGTTTTAATCCACACCCTGGTCTTCCAACCGCCCAGCTACTGAGTGTTTAGTGCAAACTAATTCTAATATAGCCATTATTAAAAATTATTCATTAGTACTTTGCAAAAATCTTTTATTTAGGCATAGCAGCTTTAGTATTAATTGTTAGAACCATTTACTCTTTTTCAGAGTTTTAGTTATTGCTGGGTAATTTCCATATAGTAAAACACATAAATGATGCAGATGCAGCTTAGTGACTTTTTAAATTTGTATACACTTATGTAGTAACCACCACTTAGATAACAAATAATACTGTTTCCTCCTGTACCCCAGAGAGTTCTCAGATGCCCTTTCCAGTCAGTGACTCCTTTACCCTGCTGGGAAAGAACCACTTCTGACCTCTGTTCTAAAACAGTTTGACTGAAACCTATCTTTACAATTTTTATTTTGCTCATCTCCTTAAGTCAGACACTTAACATGCTCTTAAGTTTTGGCGATGTGAATTCCATTTAAAGTACAGCCCCAGGAACTCACTGATCGATGGGCTGGGAAACTAGGCTAAATTCTATTTCTGGAGCCAGATCTTTCACTAAGTGTGATGAGGTGTTCTTTTTTTTCTTTTCTTTTTTTTTTTTTACTCACATTTCCAGAACACAAGTGTTAAAATATAAGTAAAATTTTTGCCTTCAAGCTAAATTGAAAGTACTTTTTATATGATTGTCCATCTGTCTCTCTGAGGATTTCTTTATGTCTCTACCTTCTTTGTAACCTTTAGGAAATTGATGGAGGGATATTGCCCAAAGGTACAATCTGTGATGATGAGAAAAATATTTTGATATTATAACCTTGTCTGAAATAAAAAGTATTTGTATATTTAATTATAAACACAAGTGACACTGTAACCAGGGCCAGGTTATAAATAGTGGAGGTATGTTTAGAATTTTAAATGTACAGTAAACACTCAAATAAGAAAAGTTCAGTTCATACGTAAAATACACTGTGAGTAATCTCTAGTCCAGCTGCAATAGAGCTGCCTCTTGACTTTCTACCTTTTTTTCATCTTTTCCAGGAACAGAGCGTTCACATTTTCCTTTCTGCAGGCATATAGGATTTGGGGCTTTTTTCCTAGGAAGACATTAATTAACTTCCTGTTTATAATTATATATTAGCAGTTGGAGGGACAAACCAGAGACTTGAGTAGGAGCTTATTTAACCTTGGCGATAGCATTGCATTCCCTGTGGTTTTTAATAAAAGTGGAATCTCCCTCTCACACCCTCCCCCCCCAGGATTCTTACCGAAAACAGGTGGTTATAGATGGTGAAACCTGTCTGCTGGACATACTGGACACAGCTGGACAAGAGGAGTACAGTGCCATGCGAGACCAGTACATGAGGACAGGCGAAGGCTTCCTCTGTGTATTTGCCATCAATAATAGCAAATCATTTGCAGATATTAACCTGTACAGGTACCAGGAGCGTTATTTTCTCTGAAAGGATGGTCTTTAAGTGTATTCTGAGGCTTTGCCAGGGGGTGTGCGGATACTATGCTAGGAAAGATACAGCTTCTTTAATTTTGAGAGGGGTCAATTTTAGGTTGTTTGTTGGGCATTGGGAATCTGGGGTTATTACTGAAAGTTAATGCTGGAACTTATTTTATGTAATGTAATATGGCTGGAACGTGTGATAGTTTATCCATGAAGCTTGCGAGTGAGAGTGATTCAGAACTCGAGGAGTTGTTAGGTCACAAAGGAATTTCAGAGGGGGAGACAACTGAGAAGCATTCTTCAGTAGGCCATAGAGATGACGATAGGAAGGAACAAATGGGGGTTAGATAAAGCCGAGAGAGCAACATTCTGATTTTACAGAATCAGAAACAGAGTCCAGAAGGTGGTTCATAAGGTGTGTGGAGTCTCAACTGTTAACTAGTAGCAGAGCCAGGACCAAAAATTCGGGGCTCCTTTTCCTGGCTCCGTGTTCGTTTAGCGGTTTGAAACACAGGTGCCTGGGTTGAAACCTGGCTCCTTCATCTGCTAGCCCTGGTACTCGGGGGCAGACCACTAAATCTCTGTGTCTCCATTTCCTTATCTGTAATATGGAGATTATAGTACCTACCAAGAGTTTTGAAAATTAAACGAATTAATAAATACGTAAATCGCTCAGAGCAGTGTCTCCACGTAGTGAAGTCTGCTCACACAGGCAGACTAGTTCAGACTGAATCCAGAACTGAATTCAGTGTGTGTGTGTGTTTCTGTCGCTCCTAAACCTGCTCTGCTTTCCACTTCCTCTCTGGAAATAGTACCAGTACTTGATAAAATGCCCAGCACTTGGCAGGCACCTATTTTCTGAATTTCTAGAAGTCATTTTCCTTTTTAGGCTGTCTTTTTTTTTTTTTTTTAAGATTTTATTTATTTTTAGAGAGCGAGGAAGGGAGGAAGAAAGAGAGGGAGAGAAATATATCAGTGTGTGGTTGCCTCTCGCACGCCCCCTACTGGGGACGTGCCCTGACTGGGAATTGAACTGGCGACCCTTTGATTCACAGGGCAGCGCTCAGTCAGTCCACTGGGCCACACCAGCCAGAGCTAGGCTGCCTTATATCATCCCTTAACGTAGGTTACTGCCATCATCCCCCAATGTAATACGTTTCAGGCACATGGCTTCATATGTAATCCCGGGGGCAGAGTGGAAGGCAGTAATGTGCAGTACTTGGTTATTTCAACTAATTAAAATTTTTTAAAAAGTGAAAAATCTGTTGCTTGGCCGTAGTAGGCACTGACTTTTTCAGTGTTTAGCAGCTATATGTGACTAGTGGGTGTGGTTGGACAGCAGAGATACAGAACATTTCCATCGCTGTAAGAAGTTCTGTTGGACAGTGTTGGTCAAGAGAATCCGAGCAGTACTTTGCAGACCGCTCTGTGATGTGTCTTAAATGTCACTGAAGGGGGTGTCGTCCCTGTTGAGAGTTCCAGGTCCTTTAGACCCCCTTTAATAAGAGCAGTTCTAGGGGCTTCTTTTATATCTTGGACTCCCAGCTCTAATTTTTTTGAAGGAAACACGGGGACACCGCACACCTAGAGAGGTAGATAAATACCATCACTGTCAAGGGAAGCTCAGAAAGGCACTTTATTTTTTGTACTTTGGACCTTAATAGAGAGCAAGAGTGTCAAACTCATTTTCACCAGGGGCCACATCAGCCTCGCAGTTGCCTTCAAAAGGCTGAAATAATTTTAGGACTGGATAAATGTAACTACTCCTTAACTGTTAAGAAGTTGAAATTACATTCAGCCCTTTGAAGGCAACCATGAGGCCGATGTGGCGCCCGGTGAAAATGAGTTTGACCCCCCTGATCTAGAGGGTGATTCAGAGTTGCCAGTTAAAGTCAGAGCCAAGTTCTTTGGAAAACCCAGGAGCCTGACAGGGGCATGTGTCAAGGCGGATGAACCATCCGTCTCCGCTGGAAGGTGAACTGGGACTTGGTGTTCCTGTGGCTGTTGAATCAGTCTAGACCAGTCTTGTTATGCATGCAAGGTCTTTCATACGTAGGAGGGGGAGAACGAAACTCACTAGTAGATGTTAAGAGGCCTAGATTAAATTTGCTAGATTCCTTTTTGCCCTGGCTGTTTATTCCTTCCAAAAAGCTTATTCTTACAATATATTCCCCCTTTTAGGGAACAGATTAAGCGAGTCAAAGACTCAGATGACGTACCTATGGTGCTAGTGGGAAACAAGTGTGACCTGCCAACGAGGACAGTTGACACAAAACAAGCCCACGAACTGGCCAAGAGTTATGGGATCCCATTCATTGAGACCTCAGCCAAGACCAGACAGGTAGAGTACAGCTTCCAGCCTCTGGCAAGGGTTTGTTTTAAAGCTGAGAAGTTTGATTGACTGACTCTTTGCTAGAGGTATGATGCACATTCTTTGTTATTAGGGATTTTTAATATTTTAATAGTGGTTTTTTTAGATTTCATTTATTTATTTTTAGAGAGGGGGGAAGGGAGGGAGAAAGAAAGGGGGAGAAATATCAATGTGTGGTCGCCTCTTACCTGCCCCCTACTGGTGACCTGGTCTGCAACCCAGGCATGTGCCCTCGCTGGGAATCGAACCAGCAACCCTATGGTTTGCAGGCCGGTGCTCAATCCACTGAGTCAAACCAGCCAGGGCTAATAGTGTTCTATTTTAACCTTTGGTTTGAACCCAAAATGAACTTGTTCACATTCTGCTGTGGAATTTTTACTCCCCCATTAGCATGCACAGACATGACTAAATGAAGACCTTGATTAAAGATAAGCATTAGTCTTTTCTCTCAACACCAGCCCCTGCATACGGTTTAAGTTCTGTGGAATGGAATCGCTAGATCTGGTGGTTCTGTATGTCCCACATTACCAATTTTCCTTTGCTTGGATGTTATTTTTGTAAAATGTGCCATTTGTATATCAGCCTGTTAATGTGATTCAAGAGGAATACTAAATTTAGTATGCTCTCTCTAAACTACCCTATTTTTTTTTAAGATTTTATTTATTTTTAGAGAGAGTGGAAGGGAGGGAGAAAGAGAGGGAGAGAAACATTAATGTCTGAGAGATACATCAGTCACTTGGCTCTCGCACACCCGCAACTGGGGGCCTGGCCTGCAATCCAGGCACGTGCCCTGACTGGGAGTAGAACTGGCGACCTTTCAGTTTGCAGGTCAGTGCTCAATGCATTGAGCCACACCAGCCAGGGCTAAACCGCCTTATTTTATCAGCTAACAATTTAACAATTGGAATTCTAAATTCATATAAAGAAGTGAGAGAGCGCTTACAACTTGGATTGTATCTGTTAGGCTGTCTTTATCATTTTCTTTCCTAGGGTGTCGAAGATGCCTTTTACACACTGGTGAGAGAAATCCGCCAGTACCGAATGAAAAAACTCAACAGCAGTGATGATGGGACTCAAGGCTGCATGGGGCTGCCCTGTGTGGTGATGTAACAAGGTGAGCACGTGGTCTCCCGACATAATTCTAAACCGAGCCATGTGGAGGAGCGTTGCTGTTGTTATCTTTTATGTTGTTATTTGCCTGAGGATTTCTGCTCACGTACAACTATAAAATGTTTTCCTCTGCATGCCCTCCCCGAGAGTACTGAGTTTTAGACTATTTTTAAAACATTTAATTACTTTACAGACATGGTTACATTTTCAGTAATATTAGAAATTAGAAGACATTATGGATGAACCGTGTGAAGACCACATTCTTGGCACCTACCAAGAGTTTGAAGAAGCACCGCATCCAAACTAGGTGCTCCTGACACGGTGTGTCTTTCTTTCTTACAGATACTTTTAAAGTTCTAGCATCGGAGGAGAGCCATTGTCAAGGTAGGACAGGCTCGGAAGTGCATGGATTATCGTTCGTGTCGATTGCTTCCGCTTGTTTCTCACACTCTCACAGTGACACTCACACACCCGTTCCGTCTCCTTCCAGCTGCACTGACACCCTGGTCCCGACTTCCCTGGAGGAGAGAGGAGTGTTCCTGTCGCCGCCGTCAGCCTCACGAGGGGCGGCGGCCCCGCCGCTTCCCCAGCTCCCGGTAGACCAGTACATCATTCTCTGTTTGAGACGTTCTCGGCGTAACTACCTCCTCACTTGGTTGTCTGACCAGAGAAACGAACCTCTTGCTACCACTCCCCGATAGTTTTCCACTCTGGGTTCTTCCCAGACACACCTCTGTCACCCCAGGTTTCTCATCTGATAAGCAATTCACACTCTGAAACAGAACCAAACTGTAGACATTAAATTCTCTAGAAAACAGTGTCTCAAGCTCTCATGTAGCAACTGCTGGAGATTTTTTTTTTTTTTTCTTTTTACTGTTGAACTTGGAACTATATTGGTTTTTGGAGAAATGTCATAAGTAACTGTTTTGCTGAGGCTATAGTTAATGTTGTTGGTGTTCGGTTGTTTGTAATGTTATCAGCTATATTCTGTAAGCTGGCATCTGCTCCGTAATCATAAGTACAAACGTGAATACGGACTTTTGAGTCTATCCTAGCCTTCTCGACTTTCATGCAATTAAACCTGGCTTTCACAGTGAAGTGCCTTTTTCCTATGAGTGGGTTGTGAACTCCCTTTCCAACCCTGCAGTGGAATGGATGTCTTGAAAACCAGTATAGGTGACAGTGAATGTCTGAGGTATGAGTAGGACCTGTCTATCTTTGAGAGAAAGATAATACATACCAATATGATAGCAGATGCCATTTCTTACATGTGTGAAGTCCGCTTTCCAGAGACCTGTTTTTAGGTTCTCCCAAGAGAAAGATGAAACTGGAAACAAGTATAAATAATTTCACTTAATTTTTACCTGTGCTCCACTTTTTGTAGGTTACTACCTATCAAATGTATGTAATTTGTTTCTTCTAGCTTACTGGTAATCTATTGTTCAATGAACTTCCATTCGTATTTAAATTTGGGTTATATCAGAAGGCTCTACATTTGCAGGTGTGCAAAACTGTAAAAATTCAATGCAGTTTTATTTGATATTGCGATCAGTGATTTTCAAACAGTATATTAACCCACACTTCCAATGCATATCCTGGTATCTCAATGATGTGTGTGTCCACAATTGCCCTTAGTCCCTCGCCCACTGCAGTTTGATTGTTCCCCCTGAGTAAAGCATGGTGCTAAATGGACCAGGCCACCGTTTCGGAACTTGAGTGAGCCAGTTGGCATCACGGAGAGAGAAGTCTTCCCCCATGTACTCTTTGCACCAGCAGCCCCAGGCGGTAGCTTTGCCAGATGTGGGCAGTTAGCCCTACATGGAAGGAAGAGGCCAGTTCACGCAAGTCCTCCATCATGACTGGGGAAGCGTGGTGTCCTGAGGAGGGCCAGCCTAGTGGTCTTTATAAATGAACTGTCCAGACTTCTTTTAGCCACCTGGAAACCGAACGATGCCAATATTTTTCCTCATGCTTTTAAGGATGGGGGTACCTTAGATCAATTTTTTTTTAATCCTCACCAGAGAATGTGTTTATTGATTTTTAGGGAGAGGAAGGTTTGGGGGGTGGGGAGAGAATAACATCCATTGGGCACTTCCTATGCATGCCCCAGCTGGGGATCCAACTTGCAGCCTTCTGGTGCGTGGGATGATGCTCCAACCAACTGAGCCTCCCGACCAGGGCTCAGATCAATTTTTTTTTAATTTTCTTTATTCATAATGTTCTTTAAAGGTTTTACAGCAAAATATTGGTTGGTTAGCCTGTGCATAAAAGATAACAAATGTAAATGCTGAGTTTGTTCAGAACAAGAAGACGACTTTGGGTTGGAATTGCTGTTTGAGAAAGGCATGGAAACACAGTGAATTGTTAGTTATGAGGATTTGGGGGCTCGGCTGTTCCACGTGCAAATAACATCCTGGTAATTCTAATGAAACACAGGCAACTTGATACAAGCCTGGCCCCAAATGACCGCTTGCTGTCCTGGTCTGTTAATATGTAAACGCTTTACCAGGGTCGTCCACCTTCAAACACGGATTTCATTTACTCAGCACACCCCCATTGCCTCTGAGTGAACCCAGAAGAGGGGAAGGCGTCCGGGCTGCGCGCAGAGAGTGGCGAACGCAGAGCTGCGCTCCTCGGCGTACAGTCTGAGAGTCTTCACAGTGCTGTCAGGCACCTGCAGCCACAGGGACTCCCTGCTCCTGAGTGTCACTCTTCCTGCAGCTGGATCGAAGCTTGTCCCCTCAGTCGTCATCCTCGTGGTCTTCCTCATCCTCCTCTTCTCATCCATGTGACTGACAGTGTGATTTTTCTCGGATGTCAAGCTAGCGGGGAAGGTGGGACTGCCTTGGGGCTCTGTGCCCACTGCGCTCATGTGGGTGTACCTAATCGTTTCCTCAAGTGTGTTGCGAGCACAGGTGTGTCTCAAGGGGCCAACATTCAGACTTGAAAGTGTTCTTTTAATAGCGTCTTGAGCAGTTACATGTAGGTGTGAGTTTTGGCGCAGCGGAGTGACAGCGGAATGCTGAGCCGCTTCAGCTGGTGCGGTGTGAAAGGCGGTGTTCAGAGTGTGTTTGTAATTGCTGAAAATCTGGTTTACCTCAAAATCCGATGGTCTCTTTCCCCAAATTAAGTGCCTGGCCAGCTGTCATCAATTACACATCACTTCGGTGGTCTGTCTTGTAAAGGTCGTAGGTTCAAGAGTGTGAAAATGCGATGTTCTGCCCGAAGGCTGCCGTGCCTGGTGTGGTCAGTGCTCACTCGCCCCCAGCAGTGCACTGGCGGACATTCCCCGGTCACACAGTGTCACACCTGTGACAGTGTTCACTTTCGGGGTGTACCGGGTAAAATGATGCTCAATATGTAGTCTAGTGGGGCCCGCCTGTGGTTGTTCATCATCCTTTAAACTGCTGTGAAATTTTTATCTTGACTTGAAAGCAAGAATAGAGAAACACTTCAAAGAGACACCTCTTTCTCCCGTTCCAGAGCTGGTGAGCGTGCTCATCCTCTGCTTTCCATGCGCAGTCCTGAGCTCCTCTGAGTTGGCAGCTACGACCAGGAGCCCAGACACGGTGCACTCGGCCTCTTGTAACTCATCTCTGCTAATACATTGCAAGAAAGAAGGATAATTAACTAGGGAAAATATTTTATTTGGGTGATTTCCATAAACGAGGGACTGTAACTCTCATACATTATTTCTCATCTTGGCGGTGTGCCACAAAATTATTTTAAAGTGTTTCGTGTAAGAACTGTTTGAAAAGTGTTGTTACTATCAGAGTAGTTGTAGATATATTTCAAATGTAACTGGCGATTTTTAAAAACCTGAAAACTGACCTGAGAAGCAATTGTCTGAACTCTGCCCTGGAGGGAAAGGACGGTCTCAACAGATGGTGTGTGGCCTGCAGGCGGCTGTGCCGGCACACGGGCGAAAGGGCCGGCCGCCTGTGCGCTCCTGCTGCTGAGACGGGAACCGCTGGCCGCGTGGCCCTAACAGGAGGGCTGGGGTTTGGAGTTGCCTATTTTATTGTAAATTAATCCACCCTAATTTTTGAAAATTTGTTTGAATGTTTTTTCTTTTTTAAATGTTTAAACAATAAAAACTGGAAGTTCTTGGCTTGGTTATAATTTTTTTTCCACCAAAGTGCCTTCATTGAAAATATTTCAGACTTTGGGATGGGAGTTTTGGGCGGTGTCGGGAGATCTGAGTTCCTTGTTTTATCTCAGTATAAAATGTGTCAAAGCCTGCTTTACATGATCACTTGGGGGTGATTCATTGCCGTGATTCATAGCTGCGTCACGTTCCCTCGTGTTATTAATATGAAGCGATTAGAGCCACCACTGGAAGTCTTCCCTCCCGTTGTTGCGTTGGTGCACGGAGTCTGCCAGTCTCAGTGCCGTCGGAGGAGCTTCGGTCTAGGAGCCAGAGGACGTGGGTTCCACCTGTAATTTTCTGCTCCAGCCCCTGGTTTCCTCACTTGCAGAACAGGGAAGCTGAATTCAGATACATCAGTTTTCCCAACCCTGATTAACGAGACGTGTTTATAAAAGAATGATTTCAAACCAAGGCTTCTCCACTTAACACTAGAAGGCTGTGATTATTAGGACCTGGGTTTATTCTACCAAGATGTTTTTTTTTTTTCATCTTTCTCCTTAAAAAGGGGGTAGGGAGGGGGATCATTAATATTTGGCTGAATTAAGCTTAAAGAAACAAAATTTAAGTGACAAATACTGTTTCTACATGAGGCTACCAGAAAGAGCATAAATACTTTAGATTATAAAATGCATATGAAAAAAACATGGACTTTGGGTATCTAAAACAGATTCCCCCCTGAAATCAGTCACCTGTACTTCATATCAGATATTTTATCCTGCTAAGATTCAACCCCTTCCATATCTGAGAAAAGGGAAGTGTTTTTTCTGATGGTAGCTGCTATTCTGCTCAGCCGAGTAAAGCTACAGAGAGACAATGAGAAAGTAGCTCAAGAAGCTTGTTTAGTTGGAATACAAGGAAACTGCCTGTGTGTGCTATTAATACCGGTTTCTGTTCTCATCACAAGCCTTCCTGAAGGTCGTCAGCAGGCCAACACAGTTGCGTAAGTTACTCGATATCCAAGAGGCCACGCTAGGGATCATTTTGCAGAGCTGCTCAAGAGACGACCAGAGACTGTCCCGCTCCATGACTTGAGAACACAGAGAGGCCCAGTATCCAAATGGCAAAAGTATGGTGGCGGTGCTTTAAAAATAACTCCGGGCAAGGAAATGTGGTCCCATGCCTTATCAAGAGAAAACTGGAACTCCAGGAGCATGCAAAAGGCAGATAGCAAGTGCCCTGTGCAGTGCCAAAAGGAACATAGAAGTTTCTGATTGGAGAGCTGGAAGTAGACGTAGTGAACTGGTCATTCTTAACTGGAGGCTTTTTGGACTCACGACTTCACACTGGCACCAAAATGGCTCATCTGTTAACTTACTGGAGGGCGGGCGTGGGGACCGTGCTGTTTTTGAACTTAGAGGAATGATCTTAGTCTCTTCTTAAAACTGGTATAAATACAGGCCACCACAAGTTCACAGGAGGCGTATAGAGAGAGCACCTGCTACGCGGGAGGCTCATATCAACCGTTTCTAAAGTTAGAGGCAGCTACGTGCCCAACGGGAGGACGCGGCTGGAACGGAGCAGATGCCTCCCCGAGCTTTCAGGCGCGGGAGCCGGAAATAGCACCCAGGTTAGGAGACACGATCTCGGGTGGCCGCTGTGGGCACAGTGAAACTGGCACTGGTGGCGCATTCCGCAGGAACTTGGGATACGTGAATGATGCGCTATGCTCAGGCCTGACGGAGAACAAGCACGTTGTTGGAAAACATCGTTACTATAAATTCACGTTTACGACTCGGTCCCAACATCCCTGATATGAAGGTGTTTGGTTTTTTTTTAATCAGTGGAATGAAGCTGAAAGACATTTTGAAACTTAGATCAAGAAATGACAGTTTATGCTCATTCTGTAAATCTGAGGAGTTCGGCCTTCAACATTAAAGTCCAAAATGAAACCCGCACGGCAAATGAACGGGCATCAGCAGGGCCTGAGCCCCTGCCGCCCCACCCTTCTGTGGCCGCTGCGACGAC